CCAGTTTAGAAATAACTGTTTTGGGCTATCGGTGGAGGATAGTCGTGATTGTTGTAGACATTGCATGTGGATTAGGATTAACTGAAACTAATCACATTGGTTAAGTCATTAATTTTGACTATTGCATTGATACAGAAAATACTTGTATTGATTGAGCATTGCATTTGCGTACATTGTTTTGTGTGGGAGGAGATGGGGGATGTACTCCACGGTTTAGGGGAAGATAGGGGATGGACCTCTAAACCGGATTTTGTTTGGGAGGAGATAGGGGATGGACTCCATTAGCATCACTTTTATGTGTGCTTATTTATATTGAAGTGTTTTTATTGATACAGCACTAAAATGTGTATCAAACTGGAAGTATGAAGTGTTTGATTTGAGCATGAGTCTCATTTGTTTGTTGACATTGGAAGAATGTGAATATAATATTTATAGTTCACTGTTGTAAGTTTGGCCAGGTTCTGAGCCATGTTGATAATAAAGAAAAGTGAAACGTGACTTAGACATTAATGTCATGAAACGGTATAATGATGTAATTGATTATCTTGGTTAACCATCTATTGAATGCTATTGCTTTATTCAATACTTATAATTGGTTTAGTATATTTCTACTGGGCTGTGGCTCACCCTATACGGGAACATCATTTTCAGGTTCAGGTGATATGCTACCTCCAAGGACATAGCTTGGAAGGCTTGAGGCTATTAGACCACCTTTTGTTGTTTTGTTGTATTACATGTATATCAAGCCAAGGGCTTTCTTTGTATAGAGTTTGCACTCTCTTTTTGCAACCAAGCGTTGTCTTGGGAAGTTGTAAGCCCATAGGGCGATTACTTTTATTGTCAATATGTAATACATTTTGTAAGAATACTCTGATGATTGTAATATAATATCTCTTTCCTATATCTTGAATGTATGATATTATGGGTTTATTTTGAGGGTGTTACATGGCAAGTATGTGATTTGTTCCCAGTACTGGAGGTTCCTGTGTGGAACTAACAAGTATGTGATTTGTTCCTAGTACCAAAGGTTCCTTTATGGAACTGGCAAGCGTGACCCTTAATGCTCCGTATTTCATCTGTTAGCGCTAATGGGTGTACAACGTATAATCTTAGGCAAAATTTGTATATGAATATGAATATGAACATGTATATGAATCTGTTTCTAATTTGAAATCTGAATATGCATAAGATTCTGTTTCTGATAAGAATTTGTTTCTGATATAAACCATAATTTCTGACTCTGTGATGGATATCATTCATTAAAACCCTTTACTTTGTTATTATTCACTAGGCTCCAGCTCACTGTATTATTTATGTATGTAGGTGATCAGGTGTGTGACCAGGCTTAGAGGCGTCTACCTGGATTCTGTTTTTGTCAGCCAATATATGTGCCTCCCGTAGAGATTCCGAATATGTCAAGTGATTATGGCTATGTGATTGAAGTTTAAGTTTTGTTTTCTTATTTGGTTAAACAAGTCTTTATTAATTTGTGAATAGGGCTAAGTCCCTTTTGGTCTAATTTGTATATATACGGTAACGTAAGGATGATATGTAAATATATATATATATATAAAGTTTTAAATTTTCGATCTCCTATAAGTTTGCATAACTCAATGGACGTTGTATATTTGGTATTTGCTTTCGGTAGCCCCTAATATTATGTTAATCTGTCTCAGAGGCCTTCAGTAATTCCAAGATAATTGGTCGGTTACGATGCTAAACATATAGGGGCAGGTTTGGATCGTGACACTCTTAAACTCTGTTCTATTTAATTTTTCTGGTTTCTCTCCATGGTTTATAGGCACCGTAGGAGTCTTTGGCGGTGGTACCGAGACTGTTGGTGTCACGGTCGGAATAGTCTCAGCATTATCCGTTGCCATTTTTTTGAAAATCACAATTTCAGAAATGAAATAAATACATACACATGTGGATTTGTGTGGATCCCACACTCATGTGAGAGGTTTGGTAGATTATATGGGATTCATAGCATTTTTCTTTTGGTATTCATTGTCTGCTAAGTCTAACAACTGCTAATGAAATTCACTGAGGTGAAGTGGAATAGCTCTAGAGAAAAACAATGCTCTCTATTTTGGAAAAATGCTTCTTCTTCAACATTTAAAATTATAAAATTTGGTTCATATTTTTGGTAAGAGATAGTACAATTATGTTGTTTGTGACTGAATTTAAGTGCCACTTACAACTGTGCATTAAGTTCTCTCCCAATCTCATTCCCTCTTCCCCATTCAAGGTACATTGGAACTTGCAACTGACACTAATCTACGCATTTCACATATTCTGTTTATTTTATTTTTTTAAAATTATCCTTAGTTGTGGTACTTGTTTGGATCATATTTCCCCTAATTTTAAAGTATGGGGTGCAGTACAACATTGGATTATTTGTCATGAATCATGTGAGTGGAAATCACCATTGAAATTTTAGGTAATTTTAGACAATATTCACCATCTATGATATCTGAATTAAAAAACACAATTTGGAAGTGGTATAGTTGAAGTGTTTGATTTACATTTGAATGACATCTTGGGCTGGTCACTTCTTGGAAATCTTTTGCATTTCGGTGGTAGAAAATATTTGAAAACAAAAATTATATAGAGAACATTAAACAAGAATGATGTGACAGTAATAACTCACTTTCATTGGTTTTTTGTTTGAAATGAATTAATACAAATCTTTTTGAAGGAGATGGGGGTGTCGGGGAAGGGGGAGGTGGTTGGGATGGTGGTGGAGTAAAAGCCGACCATTTTTTTTCTCTTTTCGTGCAAGCTTTGTTCAAACGTTAGGTGTCTAAATGACTTCAAGATGTTTGGTTGTCAATAGCCGAACAATCTTGATTTGTTTGATGAACCAAGATTGAACGAATCTTCAACACCAATTTATTTATTTATCTTTTCAAATAGCAGAAAGCTATACAAAAATGATAAATTATACCTAAACATCTCTTAAATACCAAAATTTTATTTACAATCTATTTACAAGTATCATATACTATGTGTTTTACAACTTTCAGTCCAATTTAAAGCTACAACTGCTATTGACATTTACAATGCTCTTCCCTTTGGAAAAATGAAACTTGTTCAACATTTAAAAATGAAGAGGCATGCAGTCAAATGCATGAAGTCAGGAAGCCAAAAGCCAATGAGAAAAGTGACTTTAAAGTTTTGCTTTGGAAAATGAAAGACCCTTTGTCTCTTCTAATCTGATTGATTCATTTGTGAGATTATATATTTCTATCACCTTGGAAGACAAAAAGGCTGGTCGATGGAAGTTGGTAAGATACAGTGTATATATACATTACTTACCATAAAAGAAAACAAAGGGGCAAAAAGAACCATGATAGGAGGTGCTCGAAGAGACACCAAGTAAGTCTGACAACAAAAAAAAATTTATTCTCTGATTTTCATTTTAATGTTGTCATTTTTTATTGGCAAAGAGTATGTTGTTTTTTTTACTATTATATGGTTGAAGTATGATCTTATTCTATTGAGGAATTTCGTTATGGGATTTGGTTAATTTTTGTTATGTTACTTTAATGCTAATGCTAAACTACATGAAATTTAAAACCAATGTACTCTAATGAAAAATAAAAAATAAACTGAAAGCAGATGATCAGCAACACCTTTTTCGGACACCATTTTAAGCTTTCATTCTCTGTTGCAACATTTTGATTAAGGTTTGATTTGAGAAATCATCAATTCTAATGATTTTTCAGATTTTGTAGCTAAATGGCAAGATGGGATTCATTTGAACCAACTCAAATAGTTGGTTCAGTTTTTTGTTTTCTTTTTGTTGTAAGATCATAACAATGCAGTTTTTGGTATTATAAATATGAATTTCATATTGATTGTCTTAGTAAAAATATTCAAATAGTTGTTACATTTTGTAGATTTGAGTGTTTTCAAATTTACAATCAAACACATCTGATTATCAAGTTTGTAAGGGGGCTAGTTCCAGAATGGTTCGAATCAGGTTTTTGTGTTAACCAAACAGAACACTTGTAGTTGGTTCCATTTCACAATCCTAATAACGTTGAATTTGAATTCTGAAAACCACTAGTTAAATTCTCTCATAACTTTCAATGTCTTTCCGACTTTTTTGTTTTGTGTTTTTATGGATACAGAATGCAATACATGCCAATTCTGTTGATTCTCTTTTAAAGAAATATAATACTATATTATTTGTTGCTTACCATTATTGACAAACAAAAAACAATTCCTAAATATAAAAATACATTTTAGAAAGTAAAAACACTGCCGTGCCTTGTGGAGTTGATACTTGATGTTTTCTGTTTTTGTATATTGCTGATGATAGGAGATATGATACTCTGGGCTATTCCTTATTGTTCTTTTATTTTGTGCAGGGAAATGGAACAACAGACACCAACTACACGGGGGAGCTAATACTTCGATTTGGTTATGTTTGCTGATTGATAGAATAGTTGGAAACATGAAGAAAATGTGTGGGTCAACTTCTGACATAATCACTCGTCTTCCAGACAATGTAAAAGAAACAATCTTGATGTCTTTGCCATTACAAGATGCAGTGAGGACTAGTATTTCGTCAAGGAAATGGAGGTATACGTGGGCCAGACTTCCCCAACTTGTATTTGATGATAAGTTCTGCAGAGAATCGATCAGAAATCAGAAGAATGAACTTATTAAGACTATTTATCAAGTTCTGCTGCTTCATCGTGGATCAATACTTAGGTTCACTCTTTCTTTATCTGGACTTGAAGGCTGTTCTGAGATCGACTAGTTGGTACTTTTTGTTTCAAACAATGGTATCCAGGAATTCAAACTTCACATTCGGAAGGGTGAACCTTATAAATTGCCATCATCACTATTTTCAGGTCTTCAACTTAAGGATTTGACTCTCCGTTCTGGTATGTTTAAGCCTCCACCTGAAGAATTTAAGGGGTTTAGGAGTCTCCTTCGCCTGGAGCTTTGCAAAGTTGCCATTACAGCCAACATATTTTCAAGTTTAATCTCCAGTTGCCCACTTCTTGAAGAACTGACACTTGAAGACTGCAGCAGTTTAGATTGCCTTGAAATTTACGTTCCTAATCTTATATTCTTATTCTACGAAAGCCATGTTCGTTCTATTTGTTTTAAAAATACCCCTCATCCTGCGAAAGTTTCAATCAATTTGAAAGTGTACACGAATGGGGAAACACTCAAGGAAGGAGAAGCATCTAATATGGTCTTGTTTTTTGATAGTCTACCTGTGGGGATATACTTTCTAAATACCAACATGTGGCCAAGGTGGCGCTGACGTGTCAGCCGAGGTGCCACGTGTCCTGTTCATGACGCCGAGGTTATCTCCGAAGATATCGGAATCCGAGATAAGGGATAAGGGACAAGAATAGATGGCCAGTAACGGACAGAAGGAAAAGATTGGGGATGACACTCCTGCTGGGAGTGGGAGACCTATTGACCTTGATATCACAGGAGACGAATGCAATGCAGAAACTCATGAGCAAGCTCACAGAGTAAAAGACGTCGGCCAGACCGGTGACATACCAAAGAAACCTGATCAAAGCAGATACTACAACGAGGACGACCTCCAGGTTTGGAAGGATAGGAGCCTACGGAGGGACGAAGAGGTAAAAGAGATAGCAAACAAATTGGCAGACCTACAGTCGGTCGTCAATTTCATGATGCAAAGTAATGTCATGCAACCACCGTTCCCGCTACACGACACGCCGATTCCCGCAGCCAATACCCAGAAGGGAGGGCAGAAAACAATCTCACCGACCCGAGAAGAAAGTTTGCTCTCAAAAAAGTTTCTAACTCTTTTTTGAGAGCAAATATTAAGGTGTTAGAAACTTTTTTGAGAGCAAACTTTCTTCTCGAGTCGGCGAGATTGTTTTCTGCCCTCCCTTCTGGGTATTGGCTGCTGGAATCGGCGTGTCATGCAGCAGGAACGGTGGCTGCATGACATTACTTTGCATCATGAAATTGACGACCGACTGCAGGTCTGCCAATTTATTTGCCATCTCTTTTACCTCTTCGTCCCTCCGTAGGCACCTATCCTTCCAAACCTGGAGGTCGTCCTCGTTGTAGTACCTGCTTTGATCAGGTTTCTTTGGTATGTCGCCGGTCTGGCCGACGTTTTTTACTCCGTGAGCTTGCTCATGAGTTTCTGCGTTGCATTCGTCCCCTGTGATATCAAGGTCAATAGGTCTCCCACTCTCAGCAGGAGTGTCATCTCCAATCTTTTTCTTCTATCCGTTATTGGCCATCATTCAGTTTTTGGAATTAGACTACTATTATCTTTGGGTAAGATTAGTAAACCATTTTTTTTTTTTTGGGCCGTAGGATTGGCTTAAGTAACTGATGTTTCTCTGATTTTTTTTTCTTTTTTTTGGTACATGGCTGCAAGAGGTCTTCCGAAGAGGCTTCCATTTACTCTAAGCCACCTTACAATTCTTATGTTGCATGGTATTTGTTTAGGGGAAGTAGATGAGGTCTCTATTGTTCTTTGCTTAATCAGAAGCTCTCCAAATTTGGCAAAATTTAAAATTGAGGCAAGTAATAGCATATTTTATTATTTTTATGTTTATAATGTATATTTTGAATCTTTAGGTTGGAATAATTCCGTTTTCTTTTTTCCAAGTATTTAACGATGATCCTGTTCTAGAACTTTTAGAAGCGCAAGACTGGTCGGATATCTCTTTAAACCAACTTCCAGGAGTGGAGATGAAGAATGTACTTGGAATGACATCTGAATTGGAGTTTATTAGGCTTCTATTAGCAAAATCCCCAATGTTGGAGATAGTGCTTATTGAGCCTAACTTAGAGAAAGTTGCTGACAAAGGATTGAGGATTTTGAAAGCGTTGACAAGATTTTGGCGCTTGTCACCTCAAGTAGAAATCACATACAATGGTCTAGATGGAAATCTGTGAAGACGAAATGGGAAATATCAATGAAGTGTAAATTTAAAAAAATATTTTCAAATTAATGATGAACTTTGCCTATATTAAAGTACAAAGTGCAGTGTAATTGGCCCAAGATGAAACCTCTGAAGATGAAGTATAGTAAATGGATTGTGTACTATTCGACTAGCTTTAGTTTGGTCCCTAAAAATACATTGCCACCCTCTTCTTTGCCTCATTCTATTCTTCATTTTGTTCACACATCTCCTCCCCCCTCTCATCTCACTACCTCACTTGTTTCTCGGCCCTCACTTCCACTGCCTTCTCCAACTTTCACACCTCGTCCCGCTTTATCGGCCCTTCTCTTGCTGCTGCCCAATTAATCATATTAAAAGAAAAGTCAGTGTAATTATATTAAAAATACGAGAGTGATTATATTTTTTTCTGAACTTCAATAGAGATGTGTATAATTTACTCAAAAGTCAATGCTAAACCACTAAAAACAGAATGTAAATATTATTTTTAAAACAAAATTTAAAAAGTTTTGGTCAACCTTAAAAAATGATTCCTTAGCTTTAATCAATAAGTTACTAAATTATTTGCCATGAGTTAAAAAAAGTTAAATGTTACATAATTTTCACTTACAAAAAATAATTTTTTTAATAACTTTCTAAATAAATTAAAATTTTTGACTCTTCAAGTAATAATAATAATAATAATAATAACAAATTCCAAACCCACTAAATGGTCACGTCATGTATTGTTTTGTTAAGAAAATTAAGTACGTTTTAAAAAATATTTTTTTTAGAGATATTTTTTTAGAGAAAATTTTAAATTAATGGTAAAATTTTTAAATATTAATTAATTAAATTTATAAAAGTTTTTTTTACTAATATATAAGTACTTTTTAAAAAATTCACTAATATGTAATTTTCTTAAAGACTTGTTTGATTAGCAAGAATTAATAGTAGAGGGATTAACAATCTACGAAATTAATATAGGATTGATTACTCACCTAGATTACTGAGATACATAATTTCTTTTATCCAAGTTTTATTTCCTAATCAAACAAGCCGTAAGAAAACTGTTGACTGGTGTGCGAAAACTGTCCAGGTACCCTACAAAAAAATAAATAAAATAAAAAAAATGCTAACAACAGTCTCCTCTACGTCGCTCGGGAAATATTATGACACACACCTTTAAAGGGTGTATACTATATACATTTTATAATTAAAAAAAAAAGAAAAATTGGTCTAGGGTCCCTCTCCCACTTTTCATAATGGAAGAGATCCACAAAATTATTTTTCGATATCTAAAGTCCCTCCCATCTATCACAGAGAAATTCAGCCCCCTTCCTTTTGTCTACTCTCACGCACACACACAGACATGTACATATATACATACAGAGGCGGTGAGTAAGCTTGATTTGAGTAGAGAGAAAGTCGAAGGTGATCGATTGCGTCGGAACAGTCGCTGTTGTCACAGTCCGGCACCGGAGGCTAGGGCTTGGAACGGGGTGTGTCTATGGCCTCGCAACCGGATCGGCCATGCTTGGTTCCGCCACGGACCGCCTTGTCCTCCGTCGTCTTCCTCAGTCTCTGTGACCCGATGTCAAGGCAGACAATGTCAAGGTCGTTCCCGTTCGAAACACCTTCACCAGAACCCAATCTCAAGCCATTGGAGTTTGGCAGTGAGGTTGCTGATTTGTCACAGCCACATAAGCAACAACATAGTCATTATACTCCATCACCAGAACCTGAAACAAAACAATTACTTTTTTCATAGCTAGCCTCGCTCATCTCTTTTTTGTCCTTGTCTTTTGTTCATCAATATCAGTTCCAGAGAAATTCAAAATTTCTCTGGAGATAAATTCAGAGCAGAATTTCTCTATTGATTGGTGTGAAATGACAAGAGTAAATGGAATTTTGAAACATCAGTACAGCCATTTACAACAGTAGCAACAATGGTGGAGAATCAAACCCATGGCAGAGAAATTTGAAATTTCTCTAGAGTCCATGAAATTGTGATTGAATTGTGATTGAAGAACTATTAATTTGTTTGTGTAGGAAATTGTGATTGAATCAGCAGCAGTAGAACCAAAGATAAATTGATCAAATCAGAGTTTTATAGTTCCAGAGAAAATTCAGAATTTCTCTGAGTTCAACTCAGAGAAAATTCAAATTTCTCTGTTTAGTAGCTTCTCACCTTGCAAATTTGCAATGATTATGTGGGTGATAAAGTTCCTAATAGACAAAGCAGTTCCTCTGACTTGGGACTTGGTGGACATTCTCGTCATCTCCTAACTATGCAAAACTGTGTGCGCGCGTGTGTGCATGATACATAGAGGGAAGTCGGTACCGTGCCTATTTAGTACTTGTTGCCTTAGTACATCAGTTGGCCTTCGCTTCAAAAATGTTCTTGTGTGTGCTTTTATTCTGGGCTTATGCATGATCTGTTGGTGGTACAGAAGCAGCCAAATGTGTCTGTTTATCCATGCAGTTAATCAATGCCTACAACAACAAAAAAAAAATAAAAAAAATCATTTTTTTGGCCCAAAATGAAGGGAAGTGATCATTTAAGTGTTGACTGAGTTGTGTATTGAACTTTGAACTTTCTCAAGTGGCCTATCTTTGGAAGGAACCAAGGATTTTTTTCAAATATGATTAGACAAAGTGCTACTAATAATGAATTTTGCAGTGATTAATATTCTATAGAGCTTTGGATGGACCTGAAGCACATTGCTTGTTGCAAAGGTGAAAACTTGGGGCTGTCAACATAAAAGCGTGGCTTCAGAATTTAGGAAATAATATCTGATATGGGCCTTTAAGAAACTTGCTACTTTGTAATTATGGAAGTGGTAACTAATGATTTGGAGATTTGATATGAATCTGCCAGTCAATTCTTTTTTATTATTATTTTTCTTTGTTAACCTGTAAACTGCATTGAATGATCTTATATATCAAATGAGTATGCCATTTGTTGTATATTGAAAACTGGTAGGTTATGAGTATTTTGTTTCAGTTAAGTAATTGGGATCAATTAAGTATTTTGTTTCATTTGAAGTTGAAACCAGAGAAATTCTCTGGTTTTTGAACTGAATTTTCCCTGGGTTAAAACCAGAGAAATTCTCTGGTTTTTGAACTAAATTTTCTCTGGGTTGGTCCAGAGAAATTCTTCCCAGAATTTCTCTGGACCAATTTTCCCTAGGACTGAAATTTCTCTGGATTGATATTGAGGGACCTTAGACATCATGAAAATATTTGATGTCCTTTATACTATAAAATTATAATATTAGGGACCTTAAAAAAAATACCCCTAAAAAAAATGATATAATTTTAATTTTTTGAATCATAATTAAAAAAGAAAAATATATTATAATTAAACTCAACATAAAATATAATTAAAGAATTCACGAATCATAATTAAAAAATAATAATCATAACTAGAAAAGTAAAATTACATAACTAGGTGCATAATGCATATGATAGATATTTAAGGGCTGTATATTAGAATTTTCCATTTCTCTGTCTCTCTCTCAAGAAAAGTGTCTTTCTTTCTGTAACAGAGTTTAGCAGTAGCAAGGGATTGGAGGTTGAAGAGACCCAAGTAAGCGAACAAAAATGGTTTCCACTTGATTTTTCATTTTAATTTTTTTCACTCCTTTTTTGGGCGAAGAATTGTGTTATTTTCTTAATATGATGGTTGAAATGTGATATTGTTTCATTGAAGAAGTCAGTTATGGTATTTTATTTGTTTCTGTAATGTCACTTTAATGCCATTCTCTAAGAAAGTTTAAAACCCTAATTTAGGCATACCCAGATGATCAGCACCCTCTTTCATCGACACCCTTTTAAAGTTGTGTTTGGATTCAACCTAAGCCTTCATTGTCTGTTTCAACATTTTAGTCATGCCTTGATTTCAGAATTCATCATTCTGAAGATTTTCAAGAATTTGTAGCTGAATACAAAAATAGAATCCATTTTAATTCATATCATTGGTACAATACAAATTTGTTGGCTTGATTATTTGAATCACAGAATTTCTTGCCTGTGACAAAGAAGTAAACCTACTTGAATCATTTTTCGCCATTCAGTATGCTCAGTTAAATTAAATAAATTCATATTTTTTAACTAATGCATCCTTTGTCAATTTAGGTCTTTCCCTTCCCGTAGTCTCTCCACTTATGAAGTAACTCGACTGATGAATTTAGAAGGCAGAAGAATGCATGTTACTATTCCAGCAGATGTATTATGGGAAATCTGTTTATTATTATTATTATTAAAAATAAGTATGTTTGTTTAGTCCCAATTGGATGGGGTTTGAGAGGGTAGATTAGTACAAGTATTTCCTTTGGTGTTATATATAATAATGTTGAACTTGAATTCTTAAAACTACTAGTTAAAATCTCTCAAAAACTTTCAGTGTCTTTCCAATTATCTATTGCTCACCATTATTGACAGAAACAAAAATATATATATATATATATATATACATTCCTAAATAGGAATGACAATGGATAACTTACCTAGTGGGTACCCATGGAGACCCGACCTGAATACATGGGGTTTCTCCTTTTGTTCTGCCCGTCGGGTCCGGTAGGTGGTATTGTTTAAATGTCCATCAAGGATGGGTACCCACCCATTTCCCCATATGTTTTTACTACCCTATTTATAGCTAGGGTTCTCAATCTCAATCTCGTCCTTTATCACAATCGCTGCCCTAAGTATATTGCAAGGTTGTCATTTTTCTGTTTCTTCATTCATCATCGACGAAGAGCACGTTGCTTGGTTGCTGGGAAAAGGTAGGACAGGAAAGAAAATAAGATTTTGAGTCTTCTTGATCATTGTCTCCAATTTCTTTGTAAAACTATTTGGCTTGGTTTATTCGTGGTGAGTTTTGAATTCCATGAAAATGAAAGAATGTAATTCAAGGTTCGAAATCTTTTAATCTTTCTCCATTTTCTCACCAAACCGATTTTTATGCTTTTTAATTGATTTCATAAATGTATGTACAACAAACACATACATTTAATATTTATTATATTTGTATGGATTCAGATTACTGCGTTGAAGGGAAAATAAGGCCGTTGTTTTTGAAGAATTTTTTTAAAAAGGGGTAAAGTTGGGTTGGGGAAAACCCAAACCCATTAGGGAATGGAATGGGTAATCTTCATGCACTACTAGGAATATGGCCGTTTAAATCTATATTTTTTGCGACCGACTATTTAGCAGTAGAAAAAAAAATTATTGCGATGAAAAAAAATTACTGTCGCAAAAGATAGATTTAGATAATTATATTTACTTCAAAACTGCATAATTTTGCTTGTGTTCCTAGCTGTAATTTATTTTTCCTTTTATTTCTTTATTTATTTCACCTTTCCTTATACGCATCCCTAGATCTTTTTAAGCTCATATGGCAACAGATCTATATAGCATTGTTCTCTTGCCAGCCCGCTCACCATTGTCATCTGAAGATCTCAAGCGGTATGAATCTCTCTCTCTCTCTCTCTCTCTCTCTCTCTCTCTATCTCTATCTCTATCTCTCTCTTACCACACACGTATATCATATAAGGAAGCTCTGGTTCAACTCATTCCTTTCTCATCCACGTACAGGTACAAACTGAACTATCCAAGTCTTAATTGTTATCGTTCTTGATGTAAATTCTTTAATATATATATATATATATTTTGTTCGTATTGATCGATCTAAAGTTTTTTGTGAATGGACATTCGATTCATTTCTCGAAAAGGCCTTATTCTCTGTTACTTTTTCATGAGAGAGAGAGGGGATGATGTATATATATATGAAGGTCTGAAATATGTGATTTGAAATCTTAATTTTTGAAAAATGTGTCTGAATTGGGCCTTGAAATTGTATTATATTTTGATGCCAGTTTGTTTTGTGTAACGGCATAAGCAATTTTGTTAGCTCGAGTTCCTTTTTTTTTTTTGGTGAAATTTTCATTTAGTTTCACCAATCTAGTTTTTAGTTTTTCGAATTTTTTTCAATTTGAAAACTAAACCAGAGAAGATTTTGAAGTTTTGCATGATAATCATGTTACTCCTTGATTTTTGGACGGTTAAAATTGCCAATTGTTGAAGAATGTCTAGTATTAACTTAATTGGTTTTGTGATTAATTTTTTTATGTGTTTTTGCTTGAAGATGCCGAGCATGAGTTTTGGATGATAATCATGTTACTCCTTTATTTTACAAGTATATCTTTGAGATCAATTATGCTTGATGCTACTTATTATTTCATAAAATTTTAAAAATATATGTTGTATTTCGATTCTTCACCATTGTTATTCTGCTGGTTGGATTAATCTTTTGTAGAATGGGAGGTTGGCTTTTCATTATTAAATTAAATGCTCATGAAATTTGTGATTGAAAATTCTAGTTCTATTGAAAAATCCATTTGATAATCTAGATTTGTCCCGTGATGAGTGATTGTCGATTTAGGTAATCCAAATTAAAAATTATACAACCATGATTAATGTATATAAAAGAGAGAGTAAGAGAAAATAAATCCACCATGACACAAAATATTTTTTACATGGAAAAATCACAATTGGAATCCACCAACTTATTATAAAAAAAACCACGGGCCCTCAGTCAGGCGAACAATCCACTATAAAAGAAAAGAGTACAAAAGATATCTTACAAAGGCTACCCCGGGGACACGCGTTTGCCCAACCTATAAGTAACACTTCTTTCTTCACTGGATCTCCGCAATGGTTGTTGAATCGCCACGACGCCAATGATTTCGGAATCAACTGAAATCTACAATCTTGGAATCCACCAAGAAGGTTCACAGTTGAAAGGTGTGAAGGGCTTGTGCAGCTTGATGATTAGCTTTGAGGTTCTTAGACGCTAATGAATCATCAAGCACATGAGAGTATTACAAGTAATCCTCACTGCAAAGTTCACTCTTTAAACACTTAACAAAATCTCTTTACAAAAATGTATCTTACTCATAAAAATGATCTCTCAAAAGATAAAAATACTTAGAAGAGTTTGGGGGAGAGTACTCTGAAACAAGTGTGAGGGATACAAAATAAATCAGCTGAGCACGCCTTAAATAGGCCTGGGCCAAGGACCATCAAAGGTGCTCACATCATGCTCGCGGCCGTGGTCATGGGGGTCGCAAGCGTGACCAATCTTCACGGGATGCAAACAAAACTTCTGGGAGCTGATTTGGTCGCGGCTTGGTCGCGGGAGCAATGGTGAAGTCCGCAGGCGCGATGAAGCATGCTAGCCAGCAGCTTTTGCAGACTTTTTGCTGCTGAAAATCTCCATGTTTGTTCCACGTTTTTCAGACGAACAACCTCCCTTTTGGGCTGGAAAAGTCATCATTCTCGCACATGCTTGTCTTCAAAGATTGTTAACAAGATTAGCCAACAAACCATCCCTAAAAATTGACTTCTGAAATTAAAAAAACAAAACTTTCTCCCATGCTTGAGCCACAAGGTCAAGCAAAATCACACAAGCCCATGAATCTTCGAGCCACACAATCTGCATCTTTCAATTTACAAAATCAAGAAGACGATGCACATGCTAGATCACCAAATTGTCACAAGTTGACAAACAAGAAAAGAAAAAACTATAGCCGACAAAGATAATAAAAAATCCAATACAAGAAAAAACAAAGTGAAACATTGTTTGTCACGGGATTTGCCAAAACAAGTTGCAAAGCAATAAACAATTAGGATAAAAATCCTAACAGCGATATATAATGGCCTATGACTAAAAAAACAATATTTTGTATGTTAAGTGATGTCATCATTTCTGTTCTTTGAACTGTTCTGTTTGATTATGTATGTTGAATTCTAATTGGGATTGCAATAATTGATCACCAAAGTTTGTTGATGCTCATGCTCTGTTTTTTCCCTTCTATTGCTTCAGAGTTATACAATTGATAAGAGGTAATTTTAGTTGTTGATGCTCATGCTTCGTTTTTTCCCTTCTTGAATGACACTTGATAGATATAGAGAAAATATTTTTTGGATAAAAAATTCATATCTAATTTATAGAATGTACAACATGAAAACTAGAAGAAGGTGAATATTGGCCTTGGGGTGGGAAAGTAAATGTGTATGGCATGTAGATGATTTTGGTTGAAAAATTCATATCTAACGCATCAAAGTGAACATTGATTTTGGTTTTGATTCTTTTGAGAGTTATAGTAGATTGTAGATATCTATCTTATACTTCAAACGCCACTGGCTTGTGGCACCACTGTTATTACTTCTTTTTAGTCTAGTACATAAATTAATGTATTAAATTGATATTCAATTATTGAACACAAGAACGATTGCGTAAAGCAGAGAATTGTTTCAGTGAAGGGACTATCTAATTTTAATTAATTAATTCATTAATCAGTTAATAATTGGTAATAGGGGGTTGCTTTGATGGGTGTGATTGTAGCATTGCTCTTGTTTTATTTCTAGCTCCCTTCTTTTGACTATCTTATTTTATTTTTATCAGTTTTCTCTGGTCATATCAGTGCCGGATATCTTCTTGTTCATTTTCTCTTTTGCTTATGGTTTAAATGTTATTCTTGCAAATTGCCTAAAAGTTTTACAATACTAAAGAAAAGAAAATGTAAGAACACATCGATTTTGCTGCCTAAGTTTGTGTGCTACTTAAACTCAATTTCCAAAGTTTAAACTTTATATATAAGACTGCATTGCATGGCTTTTCCTCCCCAAAATTCTTCTACTGTTGTGGGTTCCCTTTTCCTCTCTCTCCTCATTCCTTTTGCATATGTGTTGTTTATTATTTTGCTTTTTAGTTGTACTTATATGTTATTTGTGTTTATTAGTTTTTATTGAGCTTTGTGAAATGTGGTTGATTATGATATTATTATTTTGAGCTTTTAGTCTTCATAAATACTCAATTGCTCATTTTCTTCAACAATTTTGTGGTAGCGGCCCATCCCTATCATCAGCAGCCCCTTCATTTATTGATGAGATCACACAATGTATGACACAAGACATTGAGTCTAGGTTCGCTACAACGATCGAGAACCTACCGGCACATGTTTTGTTCTTAGGGTCACAGGGTGTGGTTGGGAGTAAGAGCTCGAGAGAGGTGCAATACTTACAAATTGATGAATTTTACGTTTGATCAAATTTGTATATGTACATATGGAAATTATTAACACGTTAAAGTAACATATTGTAGGTGCCAGATGCATCTAGTGGGCAACAAGCTTCAAAAAAAAGATGAACAAGTATGCCACTATTCGAACAAATTTTGAGCAATCCATAATCTGATTTGGTGTTGGTTGTTGCATATATAATAAATTACTATATATGTCAAAGTAGAAATTGACATCTCTTAGAAAAAGCATAAGAGTGTCTAAATCATGACTACCCAAAATAAATAAGAACTTAACGCTGTGTTTGGTTGGGGGATTTAGGAAGGGATTTGGAAAAGGAAAGAGAAAATGTGTGTGAAACTATGTGAAATGTAGGTATATTTTATTCACATTTCACCTACATTTTCCCTTTTCCTTTCCAAATCTCTTCCTAAATCTCCCAACCAAACACAACGTAAGAGAAGAAAGTATATAAAGTCACAATTACTTTTTGACCATCTCTTATGATGTTGACTTGTCATGAAGTATTAATTTATTTTTTTTAATCTGTATCCCTAAGTATATTGCGAGGTTGTCATTTTTCTGTTTCTTCATTCATCATCGACGAAGAGCACGTTGCTTGGTTGCTGGGAAAAGGTAGGACAGGAAAGAAAATAAGATTTTGAGTCTTCTTGATCATTGTCTCCAATTTCTTTGTAAAACTATTTGGCTTGGTTTATTCGTGGTGAGTTTTGAATTCCATGAAAATGAAAGACTGTAATTCAGGGTTCGGAATCTTTTAGTCTTCCTTTGTTTTCTCACCACACCGATATTTATGCATTTTAATTGATTTCATGAATGTATGTACAACAAACACATACATTTAATATGTATTATATCTGTATGGATTCTGATTACTGCGTTGAAGGGAAAATAAGGCCGTTGTTTTTGAAGAATTTTTTTAAAAAGGGGTAAAGTTGGGTTGGGGAAAACCCAAACCCATTAGGGAATGGAAAGGGTAATCTTCATGCACTACTAGGAATATGGCCGTTTAAATCTATATTTTTTGCGACTGACTATTTAGCAGTAGAAAAAAAAATTATTGCGATGAAAAAAAATTACTGTCGCAAAAGATAGATTTAGATAATTATATTTACTTCAAAACTGCATAATTTTGCTTGTGTTCCTAGCTGTAATTTATTTTTCCTTTTATTTCTTTATTTATTTCACCTTTCCTTATACGCATCCCTAGATCTTTTTAAGCTCATATGGCAACAGATCTATATAGCATTGTTCTCTTGCCAGCCCGCTCACCATTGTCATCTGAAGATCTCAAGCGGTATGAATCTCTCTCTCTCTCTCTCTCTCTCTCTCTCTCTCTATCTCTATCTCTATCTCTCTCTTACCACACACGTATATCATATAAGGAAGCTCTGGTTCAACTCATTCCTTTCTCATCCACGTACAGGTACAAACTGAACTATCCAAGTCTTAATTGTTATCGTTCTTGATGTAAATTCTTTAATATATATATATATATATATTTTGTTCGTATTGATCGATCTAAAGTTTTTTGTGAATGGACATTCGATTCATTTCTCGAAAAGGCCTTATTCTCTGTTACTTTTTCATGAGAGAGAGAGGGGATGATGTATATATATATGAAGGTCTGAAATATGTGATTTGAAATCTTAATTTTTGAAAAATGTGTCTGAATTGGGCCTTGAAATTGTATTATATTTTGATGCCAGTTTGTTTTGTGTAACGGCATAAGCAATTTTGTTAGCTCGAGTTCCTTTTTTTTTTGGTGAAATTTTCATTTCGTTTCACCAATCTAGTTTTTAGTTTTTCGAATTTTTTTCAATTTGAAAACTAAACCAGAGAAGATTTTGAAGTTTTGCATGATAATCATGTTACTCCTTGATTTTTGGACGGTTAAAATTGCCAATTGTTGAAGAATGTCTAGTATTAACTTAATTGGTTTTGTGATTAATTTTTTTATGTGTTTTTGCTTGAAGATGCCGAGCATGAGTTTTGGATGATAATCATGTTACTCCTTGATTTTTGGACGGTTAAAATTGCCAATTGTTGAAGAATGTCTAGTATTAACTTAATTGGTTTTGTGATTAATTTTTTTATGTGTTTTTGCTTGAAGATGCCGAGCATGAGTTTTGGATGATAATCATGTTACTCCTTGATTTTACAAGTATATCTTTGAGATCAATTATGCTTGATGCTACTTAGTATTTCATAAAATTTAAAAAATATATGTTGTATTTCGATTCTTCACCATTGTTATTCTGCTGGTTGGATTAATCTTTTGTAGAATGGGAGGTTGGCTTTTCATTATTAAATTAAATGCTCTTGAAATTTGTGATTGAAAATTCTAGTTCTATTGAAAAATCCATTTGATAATCTAGATTTGTCCCGTGATGAGTGATTGTCGATTTAGGTAATCCAAATTAAAAATTATACAACCATGATTAATGTATATAAAAGAGAGAGTAAGAGAAAATAAATCCACCATGACACAAAATATTTTTTACATGGAAAAATCACAATTGGAATCCACCAACTTATTATAAAAAAAACCACGGGCCCTCAGTCAGGCGAACAATCCACTATAAAAGAAAAGAGTACAAAAGATATCTTACAAAGGCTACCCCGGGGACACGCGTTTGCTCAACCTATAAGTAACACTTCTTTCTTCACTGGATCTCCGCAATGGTTGTTGAATCGCCACGATGCCAATGATTTCGGAATCAACTGAAATCTACAATCTTGGAATCTACCAAGAAGGTTCACAGTTGAAACGTGTGAAGGACTTGTGCAGCTTGATGATTAGCTTTGAGGTTCTTAGACGCTAATGAATCATCAAGCACATGAGAGTATTACAAGTAATCCTCACTGCAAAGTTCACTCTTTAAACACTTAACAAAATCTCTTTACAAAAATGTATCTTACTCATAAAAATGATCTCTCAAAAGATAAAAATACTTAGAAGAGTTTGGGGGAGAGTACTCAGAAACAAGTGTGAGGGATACAAAATAAATCAGCTGAGCACGCCTTAAATAGGCCTAGGCCAAGGACCATCAAAGGTGCTCACATCATGCTCGTGGCCGTGGTCATGGGGGTCGCAAGCGTGACCAATCTTCACGGGATGCAAACAAAACTTCTGGGAGCTGATTTGGTCGCGGCTTGGTCACGGGAGCAATGGTGAAGTCCGCAGGCGTGATGAAGCATGCTAGCCAGCAGCTTTTGCAGACTTTTTGCTGCTGAAAATCTCCATGTTTGTTCCACGTTTTTCAGACGAACAACCTCCCTTTTGGGCTGGAAAAGTCATCATTCTCGCACATGCTTGTCTTCAAAGATTGTTAACAAGATTAGCCAACAAACCATCCATAAAAATTGACTTCTGAAATTAAAAAAACAAAACTTTCTCCCATGCTTGAGCCACAAGGTCAAGCAAAATCACACAAGCCCATGAATCTTCGAGCCACACAATCTGCATCTTTCAATTTACAAAATCAAGAAGACGATGCACATGCTAGATCACCAAATTGTCACAAGTTGACAAACAAGAAAAGAAAAAACTATAGCCGACAAAGATAATAAAAAATCCAATACAAGAAGAAACAAAGTGAAACATTGTTTGTCATGGGATTTGCCAAAACAAGTTGCAAAGCAACAAGCAATTAGGATAAAAATCCTAACAGCGATATATAATGGTCTATGACTAAAAAAACAATATTTTGTATGTTAAGTGATGTCATCATTTCTGTTCTTTGAACTGTTCTGTTTGATTATGTATGTTGAATTCTGATTGGGATTGCAATAATTGATCACCAAAGTTTGTTGATGCTCAGGCTCTGTTTTTTCCCTTCTATTGCTTCAGAGTTATACAATTGATAAGAGGTAATTTTAGTTGTTGATGCTCATGCTTCGTTTTTTCCCTTCTTGAATGACACTTGATAGATATAGAGAAAATATTTTTTGGATAAAAAATTCATATCTAATTTATAGAATGTACAACATGAAAACTAGAAGAAGGTGAATATTGGCCTTGGGGTGGGAAAGTAAATGTGTATGGCATGTAGATGATTTTGGTTGAAAAATTCATATCTAACGCATCAAAGTGAACATTGATTTTGGTTTTGATTCTTTTGAGAGTTATAGTAGATTGTAGATATCTATCTTATACTTCAAACGCCACTGGCTTGTGGCACCACTGTTATTACTTCTTTTTAGTCTAGTACATAAATTAATGTATTAAATTGATATTCAATTATTGAACACAAGAACGACTGCGTAAAGCAGAGAATTGTTTCAGTGAAGGGACTATCTAATTTTAATTAATTAATTCATTAATCAGTTAATAATTGGTAATAGGGGGTTGCTTTGATGGGTGTGATTGTAGCATTGCTCTTGTTTTATTTCTAGCTCCCTTCTTTTGACTATCTTATTTTATTTTTATCAGTTTTCTCTGGTCATATCAGTGCCGGATATCTTCTTGTTCATTTTCTCTTTTGCTTATGGTTTAAATGTTATTCTTGCAAATTGCCTAAAAGTTTTACAATACTAAAGAAAAGAAAATGTAAGAACACATCGATTTTGCTGCCTAAGTTTGTGTGCTACTTAAACTCAATTTCCAAAGTTTAAACTTTATATATAAGACTGCATTGCATGACTTTTCCTCCCCAAAATTCTTCTACTGTTGTGGGTTCCCTTTTCCTCTCTCTCCTCGTTCCTTTTGCATATGTGTTGTTTATTATTTTGCTTTTTAGTTGTACTTATATGTTATTTGTGTTTATTAGTTTTTATTGAGCTTTGTGAAATGTGGTTGATTATGATATTATTATTTTGAGCTTTTAGTCTTCATAAATACTCAATTGCTCATTTTCTTCAACAATTTTGTGGTAGCGGCCCATCCCTATCATCAGCAGCCCCTTCATTTATTGATGAGATCACACAATGTATGACACAAGACATTGAGTCTAGGTTCGCTACAACGATCGAGAACCTACCGGCACATGTTTTGTTCTTAGGGTCACAGGGTGTGGTTGGGAGTAAGAGCTCGAGAAAGGTGCAATACTTACAAATTGATGAATTTTACGTTTGATCAAATTTGTATATGTACATATGGAAATTATTAACACGTTAAACTAACATATTGTAGGTGCCAGATGCATCTAGTGGCCAACAAGCTTCAAAAAAAAAGATGAACAAGTATGCCACTATTCGAACAAATTTTGAGCAGTCCATAATCTGATTTGGTGTTGGTTATTGCATATATAATAAATTACTATATATGTCAAAGTAGAAATTGACATCTCTTAGAAAAAGCATAAGAGTGTCTAAATCATGACTACCCAAAATAAATAAGAACTTAACGCTGTGTTTGGTTGGGGGATTTCGGAAGGGATTTGGAAAAGGAAAGAGAAAATGTGTGTGAAACTATGTGAAATGTAGGTATATTTTATTCACATTTCACCTACATTTTCCCTTTTCCTTTCCAAATCTCTTCCTAAATCTCCCAACCAAACACAACGTAAGAGAAGAAAGTATATAAAGTCACAATTACTTTTTGACCATCTCTTATAATGTTGACTTGTCATGAAGTATTAATTTATTTTTTTTAATCTGTATTTTTGCATGTGAAGAGTCTAAACCCTTTTGTCTCAATTGGCAAAGACTTCAAAAGTCAGGGCATCCATAGTTGTTTCACTGAATTAATTTATGTGTATATATTTGATGTTGCAATTGGATTTAATGTGGAAACAATGCAATATAACAACATAAAGTTTCAAGTTTGGGATCTGGGTATCTATTTCCAAATAATTATTGTAAATATATTATTGTTTGTCCCAAAGTAGTTATTGTGCATTATGTCCAAAGTGCTTTGTACTGGGTTATAATAATTAATTGCAATTTGTAAATAACAGCCTTCTTGTAATTTTTAGATGGATAAACCTAGGTTGAAATTCATGCATTTTAGTACATTGGATGCTTGGTGGGTGGGCCAGTGGATGCATTTCATATGCATGTGACTCAGGTGTTGGGTTGCTGATTTTTTCTTAGCAAATCCTGACTTATCTGAACCTTTTTAGTTAAACCACTTTGATGAATAAATTACTAGTAATGCTCCTACCAAAAATGTTAGTTTGGAGTTGTTATGCATATGCACTAGATATTTTTTTCATTTTTGATATGCACTTGGGCATTGTGATAAAATATTGGAATATTTGCTTGAAAAAAGTGACAACTATGCAGGTACTACTATTGAAAAATGTGAATCATACGCTTGAGAAATTAGTTACCTGACTTGTTTAAGAATATGTTATGTTCTGGGTGTTGCCATTGTTTGTTGGAGGATAGTTGGTGTTGTTGCTGATAATTGTGGCATCTATAAGAAAAGATAGAAAATTTATTGCCCTCTTGGTAGTACTAGTGGTGTTATAGAAAATTTATGTTGTCTTTGGTGTACACAGGTTAGCTTCGCAATTGATGAACACTTGAGAGTCAAGAAAAGCACACACAAGGCTTAAATGTTCTAATCCTACTGATTTTGCACATTTTTTAGTTTTGATTTGACACACTAATAGTTTTTCAAAATGTATGTTTTGATGTGTTTAAAGTCAGGTATTTGGTTCTTGATTTAGCAAGCATATGTTACTACTCTGTGTACATAAACCTGGAAAATATTGACTTGCTTATTCCCTCTTTCTTTGTTTTGCTAGATTTGTCTCAAATAAATGGTTTGGTGCTATTGTTTTCAGTGGGACCTTATTTGGTAGATTTGTCTCAAAATATTTGTCACTAAAAAGTTATTTTTGTACTATTTATAAAATGTCATTGAAAATTATTTACGACGGTAACAAAATGGTCGCTAATACATTGTAGGCATTTTTTTATAGTTTTTTGCGATGGCAAAACATCAATCGCTATAAGTTGGTTAGGCGGTCGCAAATAGTTTGCGACTGCTTTTTGCAGTCGCAAAAAGTATTTGCCACCCCCACATTCGCATCCCTCATTTTTCATCGCATGGCTAATCGCAAAAGGTCTTTTGCGATTGTATTTCTATTTTTTGTGACTTCTTGTAGTAATCACTTAAAAGGCTTATTTTAGTAGTGATGGGGGATGGGGAATGGAAAAAATTTATAATAGAGAAATGGGGATGGAAAATTAATATCCGCCCTCTTGCTCCCCATTGACATTCCTATTCCTAAATATAAAAATGCATTTTAAAAGATAAAAACCACTGCCTTGAGGAGTTGATACTTTGATGTTTTCTGTTTCTTTCTATAACTGATGACAAGAGATATGATACTGGGCCATTCCTTATTGTTCTTTTATTTTGTGCCAGGAAATGGAATCACAAACATTAACTACACAGGGGAGCTGATACTTTGATTTGGTTATGTTTGCTGATTGATAGAATAGTTGGAAACATGAAGAAAATGTGTGGGCCAACTTCAGACATAATCACTCATCTTCCAGACAATGTAAAAGAAACAATCTTGATGTCTTTGCCATTACAAGATGCGGTGAGGACTAGTATTTTGTCAAGGAAATGGAGGTATATGTGGGCCAGACTTCCCCAACTTTTATTTGATGATAAGTTCTGCAGAGAATTGATCAGAAATCAGAAGAATAAACTTGTGATGACTATTTATCAAGTTCTGTTACTCCACCGTAGACCAATACTCAGGTTCACTCTTTCTTTATCTGGACTTGAAGGCTGTTCTGAGATCGACCAGTTGGTACTTTTTGTTTCAAACAATGGTATCCAGGAATTCAACCTTCACATTCGGATAGGTGAACCTTATAAATTGCCATCATCACTATTTTCATGTCTTCAACTTAAGGATTTGACTCTCCGTTCTGGTATGTTTAAGCCTCCACCTGAAAAATTTAAAGGGTTTAGGAGTCTCCTTCGCCTGGAGCTTTGCAAAGTTGCCATTACTGCCAACATATTTTCAAGTTTAATCTCCAGTTGCCCACTTCTTGAAGAACTGACACTTGAAGACTGCAGCAGTTTAGATTGCCTTGAAATTTACGTTCCTAATCTTATATTCTTATTCTACGAAAGCCATGTTCGTTCTATTTGTTTTAAAAATACCCCTCATCTTGCGAAAGTTTCAATCGGTTTGAAAGTGCACACAAACGAGGAAACACTCAAGGAAGGAGAAACATCTAATATGGTCTTGTTTTTTGATAGTCTACCCGCCATTCAGTTTTTGGAATTAGACTATTATTATGTTCATGGAAGATTAGTAAACCATGTTTTTTTTTTTGGCCATGGGGTTAGCTTAAGTAACTGATGTTTCTCTAATTTTTTTTTTTTTTCTTTCTTTAGTACATGGCTGCAGGTGGGGTACCAAAGAGGCTTCCAATTACTCTGAGCCACCTTAAAATTATCGATTTGTATGCTATTTGTTTTGGGGAAGTCAATGAGGTTTCTATTGTTCTTTGCTTAATCAGAAGCTCCCCAAATTTGGAAAAAATTATAATTGAGGTTAAGTAATGACATATTTTATTATTTCCTGTGTTTATATATAATGTATATTTTGAATCTTTAGGCTGAGACAATTTTGCTTTCTTCTTTCTAGGTTTGTACCCATGAAACTACTGCTATTGATCATGTTCTAGAACTTTTAGAAATTCAAGACTGGTCAGATGTCTCTTTAAATCAACTTCGAGAAGTGGAGATCCGAAATCTATCTGGAACAAGGTTTGAATTGGAGTTTATTAAGCTTCTATTAGCCAAATCCCCTATGCTGGAAACAATGCTTATTGAGCCTGACTTGGAGAAAGTTGCTGACAAAGGATTGAGGATTTTGAAAGAGTTGACAAGATTTTGGCGCTCCTCACCAAAAGCAAAAATCACATACAATGATCCAAATGGAAGTCGCAATGAAAATGAACCCCTGAAGATTAAGTTTAGCAAATGGTTTGTGTCCTTTTTTACTAGCTTTGGTTTGAGTGACACAGAAAGATGATCTTTTTGGTATTCATTCTCTGCTAAGTAACAACTGCTAATGAGATTCACTATGGGAAAGTGGAACATCTAGGGAAAAGAAAAAAACAATGCTCTCCATTTTGGAAAAATGAATCTTCAACATTTAAACTTATGAAATTTGGTTGATATTTTTGGTAATAGATAGTACAATGATGTATGCATCAATTTTCCCCCCAATCCCATTACCTCTTCCCCATTCAAGGTACAATGGAACTTGCAATTGACACTGATATACACACTTCACACATTTTTATTTTCCTCTTAAATTATCCTTAGTTATTGCACCTTTCTACTTGTTTGGATTATATTTCCCCTGTTTTTAAAGTTTAGGGTAATGTACAACATTGCCATGAATCAGGTGAGTGGAAATCACAATGAAAATTTTGTCTAATTTTAGACAATGTTCGCCATCTATGAAATCTGAATGAAAAAGCACAATTTAGAAGTGGTATAGTTGAAGGGTTTTATTTACAAATGAATGACGTCTTGGGTTCCTGCAAATCTTTTGCATTTTGGCAGTGGCAATTGATTTACAAACAAAAGTAACACACAGAAAATTCAACAAGAATGGTATGACAGTAGTGTTTTTGAAATAATAAATTACTTTCATTGGTTTTTTGTTTGACATGAATCAATGCAAATATTTCTGAAGGAGATGGGGGTGTCGAGGGGTAGGAAATGGAGGGGGTTGGGGTGGTGGTGGAGTAGAAGATGACTTTTTTCATTTTTTTGTGTTCAAGTTCTGTTCAAACGTGATGTTCGATTGTCAAATGCTAAACAATCTTGATTTGTTTGATGAACTAGGATAGAATGAAGTTTCAACTCTCTTTTTTTACCTACCATTAGTCTATCCCTTTCAGTCCTTCTATGATTAAAAGGAATGTGAGGGTAATTATATAAAAAATGTAGGAGCGATTGTATTTTTTTCAAACATGAATGTAATTTATTCAAAAATCAATGCTAAACACCTAAATATAGAATATAAATATTTTTAAGACAAAATTTAGAAAGTATGTTTGGGAACAACCTTAAAAGATTAATTTTTAACTCTAAAAAGTCAAGAAAATTACTAAACTATTTGTCATGAATTAGAAAAAGGAAAATTTCACATTAATTTTCACTTACGAAAGGTATACTTTTTATAAAATCTTTCTAAACAAATTAACCTTTTAAAAAATGAAAAATAAAAAACAAATCCCAAACACCCCACTAAATGGTCACGTTGCGTATTCTTGTCTATTTAGAAAACTGCTAACAGAGTTTGGAAGTAGTAGGGGTTAGGATGTTGAAGAAACCCAAGTAAGCGACCAAAAATATTTCCATTTGATTTTTCTTTTCTTTTTTTTCTACGACAAATTGTGTTATTTTCTTAATATGATGGTTGAATCTGATATTGTTTCATTGAAGAACTCAGTTATAATATTTGATTAGTTTCTGTAATATTAATTTAATGCCATTCTGTAAAAAGGTTAAAACCCTAAATGATTTAGGCATACACATTGAGCACCAGATGAACAGCACCCCCTTTTATCAACACCCTTTTAAAGTTGTGTTTGGATCATGGAAAAAGATTCAACCTAAGCTTTCATTGTCTGTTGTCACATTTTAGTCAAACCTTTGATTTGAGAATTCATCATTCTGAAGATTTTCAAGAATTTGTAGCTGAATACAAAAATAGGATATCCGTTACTGGTACAATTTTTTTGACTTGATTATTTGAATCAAAGAATTTTTTGCGTGTGACAAAGAAGTAACCTACTAAGCCTTGTGTCGTTCCCAATCAAGTGGGATCAGCTACTTGGAAGTAACCCTACTGATGAATTTAAAAGGCAGGAGAATGTATATTGATGTATTATGGGAAATCTTTTATATATATATTAAAAAACATATGTTTGTCTAGTCCCAGATGGATGGGGTTTTGGAGGGTAGATCGGGTACGAACATAATATTTGGTGTTATATACATAAGAGTGTGTAGACACCCTATTTTTGACCATCCTCAAGACTTGGAACACTCGATGATCACCCATGTTTGTGTTCGTCTTGAGTTCTCGGAGTTTCGGCTACGCGCCTTGCCTTAAGACCTCTCGACTTGTTTGTTTTGTGTTTGGTTTTGCACCAAACACTTTTTGTTTTGCTTCTGAGGGTGGGAAATAGCTTGTTGGCCATCCCCACACCTCACCGGCCATGGCTAGAGGCCATCGGCCCTGTTTTCTTGCTACTGGCCAAAAGTGTTGGCCGGGTCAGCAATGTTTTTGGTCGGCCGGCCACTGTTTTGATCAATCGGCCACTTTTTCTGGCCGAGACCTTTTCTTGAGGAGGTTTGAACCTTTTGAACCCTTGTTTTAGCCTATTGAGGAAGCTTGAACCTTTTGAACCCCTCGTTTTAGCTTCTTGAGGAAGCTTGAACCTCTTGAACCCTTGTCTAGCTTCTCCAAGAAGCTTGACCCTTTTGCTCTAGCTTCTCCAAGAAGCTTAACCCTTTGCTTCAAGCTTCTAAGAGAAGCTTGAGCCTTTCTTAGCTTCTTGAG